GTGGGGTCGCGGGGGCGGAGGGGCCGCCCCGCTCGGCTGCGGCCGAGCGTCTACTCGGCTCCCGGCTGGCGGAGCTGGGGTCGCGTTTCTTCCAGCTCCGCTCCGGTGTCGCCCTATAAAACACCTCGGTGTGTGTCCGCAATGGCAGCCTTGGGCTGTGGGTGTTTGGCAGCCTGCGTGTAAGTCTTCGAGCAACACAGAGTGGAATGTCTCTGAAATGTTGATTTTCAAAAGCAAATAAAGGACTCCCAGAGTGGAAGAGACAAGCAAAGAAAACAAGCCTGAACGAAAGTCACTGGATTTTAGGGCTGCTTCTTTTTTGGAAACACAAGAAGGGTAGGAACGTGGCTGGAAAGTGCGTAAACTCACTTGAACTGATAGTCTTGTAGTAACTTTTCTTTACGGAAGAACTGATGGTTCTAGAGCTATTTTTAACAACTACTTGTATGCTTCAGCCTTTCAAGACGTTACAGTTCTTGCTTGTGCTTCATGCACTTGGTAACTACACTGCAATTTTGGCAGAGAGGATGGTGTTCAGACGTTTGCTGAATGTGCCTTCTTCACTGCTCAGTCACTTGGTTTGCTGTTCAAAATACAGCACAATACAACTAAACCACTGTGTTCTTATAACTAAAATTCAAACAAGTAGGCAAGGAGCATCATGGTAGGAAATTAAATAATTAAACTTTATGAGGAGGGTCAGCTTTAAATGGTTTGTTTTAAGGAGAATAATATTTTAAGGAAAGTGAGAGTTTGATATGACGGTGGAAAAATTCTCTACCATAAAAGCCTCTACCAAAGGCAGAACGTTTAATTTCAACTCTGACGGTGAAATGTGTAAAAAAAAAAAAAAAAAAAAAAAAAGTGATTGTTGTGTACTTTGTTATGGAAGTAGGTAAACTTATTCATCAGATGACTTTGCATGTTGGACTTGCTGGTATCTGGTACTTTGGGTCACATAACATACGGGCTGCTAAGTAGCTCTTGATCTAAATCTAGAGGGTAAAGAGTCAATGCAGTTATTTGTCATGTTTTTCTTAGTCTCTGTAGTACACTTTTCTGTTCTCTTACCTAAAAATGGGATCTTTGACATTCTTAGTCCTTTATACTTGCGCTGACTAGCTAAATGGTATACTAGCTTAACTGCACAGTTTTACATATTTCTGAGCTTGTGGGCATGTTGGTTTTGCTTCACCTCAACAAGCATGAAGAGTTCGAGCTGACAGATATAATACCTGGAACAACTTCTGAATGTTAGTAATGAGATATAAAATACATGTAGTATGTTCCATACATATGTCAGAGATCAGTTTTTTTGTCTATTGCTAGTTCAAGAAATGCAGTCTCTCCAAAATAGCATAACACAATGTGATTTGCCTCCCTACCATAATTTTCTCAGCAGCGTTGAATGCCCTTTCTTTCTATAGTGGCATGTTTTGGAAATTTTTTATCTTATTTGTCACCTCCTGCCCACCCCCCTTTGGGGTTTTGTATTTAAACGAGATTCCTCTGCTATGATGTAGGCATCCTCTGCTCTTCGCTCTTTAACAAGTTTTCTTCATCTCATGAATCCCATTTGAATGCTGTGGGCCATATCTGTGCTTTAGAGCAATTTTCTGACAATTTGCAAAGCTAGACAGTCTGTACAATATAGGATGGGAATTGTTCTGTGACGATGCTCAGGCACTGAAAATGCTACACTTTTGTCAATGCGTTGTTCGTTAAGCTGTTACATTTTGCTTTTCAACAGAACTAGCTGAAAATTTGTGTAGCCGTGTTCTCAAAGTTAGCTTTGTTGGTACTTGCTTATGGGTTGAGGCACCATACTCCACTGCGTGTGAGGTTTTTTGAGTTTTTTTTTTTATTTTGGATTCTTCAGAGCCTGATTTTAATACTTGTAATAGTTGTAATCATCTTGCTTTCCTTTTTAGGAACTTCTCTGTTCTTCACACACCAAGCTCTCCTGTGGAGAAGCTATTCTCAGGTGCTCTTGTGTAATGGAATATAAATATTTAAAGAGTATCTGTTGTCTTTTCTGTGGAAGAAATCTGACCTGTTTCTGACATTGAATGATGGCAGATCCACACAAAGGCATCCTTGAATACAGCAGCTTCATAAGATCAGGAGGAGTTCTCAGTTCCTACTTGGATAAATTATCTAAACCATCATAGTTTGCTAGGGACGTAATATGTTTGTTAGGGATAGTTCCTCAATTTTTTTTCCAATTTTATTGGTCTAAATTGGGAAGATGATAACTTTGGAAAGTTACCATACTTAATTATTCAGTTTTCTGCATTGTTTGAAATTACCTTAGTTTGAGCTTAGTTATCATTTAAAATATGAAATGATTTTTTTTTTTTAAAAAAAGGTATTTTGAGAAACAAGCTTTAGGAAACTTGCTGTGGTAACTCAAAGTGTCACTGCTCTCAGTTAATCTGCTCATGGAGGCAAGTGTGCAGTAGGGAATATCTGTCTACATCTAAGCTGCTCCGATATGAATCCAGTTGGGTTTTTTAGCTTAAGCTGCTGACCAAAACGTGAGCTTAGATGGTATGAGCCTATGAGCTGAGGTGATAGCACACATTCCTTTTGCAAGGGTTGTGATAATCTCTGGAGGAGAAATTGGTATGTCATTAACAACCATCCCCTGTCCCACGACATATGCACGGATATTATTCCCCTATTCCGTAGCCCCCTGCCCACACCACTTCCCCGAATAAGAACAGTTGATGACTTGGGCTCCATCTCTGGAGGTGGCATGCTGGACTGTTCGGTGCCAAGACCCACTTGGACTGAGTCACTGCCACACTTGCTCGGTTCCTCATGGGGCTCATCCTCCTTTGGTTCAGGCGGTTGCTGCTGTACTGTTCCTGTAACATACAACTCAAATCATGGGTTATTTTCCCCAAAGTTTAAATCTCCTTGAGAGACACACTGGATTTCCCCATCCTTCCACATTACCCACCAGCTGCACTTGAGCAAACATAATCCCACAAATGGCTTTGCCTTTTGCCAAGGGAGGAGGAATCTACACAGCCTTTTCCAGCCACTAACAAGCGCTGGACTCTAATATGCAGTAAAGTAAGCAAGCAAGCTCAGTGACCAGCACAGGAGCCTGCCAGTTAACAACTGTAACATGCTCAGATCAAAGCTGTCACTATCTTTAGCCCCACGTGGGGCACCGAGAAGGACTGTCATGGGTTGACCCTGCCTAACAGCTAAATGTGCACCCAGTGACTTGCTTACTCCCCTCTCCCACGGGATGGGGGGAAGACAGAAGGAAGATGAGAAGACTCATGGATAGAGATAATGTCAGTTTAATGGGGAAAGCAAAAGGTGCATGCTCAAGCAGAGCAGAAAGAAGAATTAATCGCTATTTCCCATCAGTGGGCAGGTGTTCAGCCACTTTCTGGAAAGCAGGGCCTCAGCACACTTAACAGCTGCTTGGAAAGACAAACGCAGTAACCATGACCATTCCCCCTTCCTCCTCTTTTCCCTGAGCTATTTTTTGCTGAGCACGACATCATATGGTATGGAATATCCCTATGGTCAGTTGGGGTTGGCTGTCCTGGCTGTGTCCCCTCCCAACATCTTGCCTACCCCAGCCTGCTGGCTGTGGGGAGAGGAGGGCAGGGCAGAGCGGGAAAGAGAGAAAGCCTCAATGCTGTGCATGCACTGTCTGGTAATAGCCAAAATATTCATGTGTTATCAGCAGTGTTTTAGCCAAAAATACAAAGCACAGCGCCATACAGGCTGCTGTGAAGAAAACAGCAGTCAGACTCAGTGCATCATCCTACCAGGAAGGTTGTGGATTTGAACTTGTGAAGTAAAGTTGCCCAAAACTTGCTGGTGAAAGGCCTTTACCTGGACAACTGCTGTTGTTCGCAGTAGGGCTATTGTAGCTGAGTAACTAAGGGAGTTTTAAGCTTTTGCGTCTTTGTGTGCTTGACTGCATAGTTTGTGTAAGCTTTACTGTTTCACAGCTAAGTGTACATACAAAGAACTAAACATGCACGTCATCACACAGTTATTCTCCATTGCTTGTTCCACAGAGCAGCACCAGAAAGAGGAATAGTCTCTGTTTTTTTTCTCCTGCTTGAAGAGTAGAAAGTGGGATTGTAAAATGATGGAAGTACTTGATACTTTCATTTAATTTAGTGACAATTACTGGATATTAAGTTGCCAGTTCCTCAAAGCGCTCACTAGAGAGCCCAGTTTCCTTGTTGCAGGATGTTTTTGTGTAAAAGAAATTGACAGTTAAATGAATATATTTAACAGGTAGGACATTCCTTGTTTGCTTTTAATGTCTTATCCTGTTATGTTCTTACGACTTACTCATGCTTGAAATTGGTCCTTATTTTCTGTCAATCAGCAGAGCTGTGGGATGTGTTAGCAAGGCAAGCACTGGAATTTCATAGCTTGATGTGTCTTACTGCTCTAACTTGCACGTTTCCTTATGTGCAGTGGTCTTGCATTATTATTTTGTACGAGTACTGTGTTGTTGCTGCCCAGATATGTAAAATGGGGGCAGATGAAGTGTGAGAGGATGGAAAAGTGAAAGACATAATGAGACTGTCATGGGGCTGACTGAATATGACACACTCTGAATAGAGAGCCTGCTGCTGGGGAAATGGCTTGCCTTGGTTATACATAGGGGCTAACTATGCATTTCTTCTTTTTTTTTTTTTTTTTTCCCTCCTTCTTTTTCTTGCTAGCAGTGACAAGACAACATCTGGGCCCCTACATCTCTCTCCCAGTCGTGTCTTGGGTTGCTCTGGCCTGTCCACATTGTTTCTGTAGCTTTCGTGGCTCTGGATGGCTACTGAAGAGGGATGTTCAGTCTAATGGCCAATTGCTGCAGCTGGTTAAAACGGTGGCAGGAACCTGTCAGGTAAACATGTGAAAGTATTTTACATTTCTGTGCTGACCTTCCCAAACTGTATTTCTTGTCCTCTCACCTATGTTTTACTGTATTTGCAATATAACATTCTTTCGTATTTTCTAATTCTGAGACAAAATCCATCATTTTTTTTTCTCTAAGAGAGAATTGATACATCTTCTGAACTTAAAAATGGAATGTTAATCATCTCTAATTCAGGTATCCAGGAGAGTATAAAGTTGAAAATATTGTCCTTCGCATACTGTTTTCTCAAGTTAAACATTATGGGGTGATGCTAGAATGTTTATGTAAATTTTATTTGGTTTTTGTCTTATTGATTTAGTTTCTGCATTTTGAGATTCTGAAGTGTAATATGTTAAAACACGTTCTTGTCAAGAGTAGACTGTAGCCCCAATGTAATACTAGTTTTCTTACTATTATCTAAGTATTTTAATACTGCATTTTGTGGGTAGCCCGGTGATCCATTCTCGCTTATGGAATTCTACTGTTCTCATTTGTTTCTGTTACTTTTACTTTGACATCCTGCATCCTTTTCCCTCCAATTAGTAGAGATGCACAGGTAGTGCGTAGTTTGTTACAAACTATGGGGAAGGGAAATAAAGAGTATGGCACAGTTATACTTAACAGTCATGTATGAGGATTTGCCCTTTTCTTCAATGCTACATAGTTTAGGTTTTACATAAGGTGCTGCTGTTCAAAGAACTATATTGCACTGAATAGCTTTCTGACACCACCAATGTATTATAGACAGTTGTGAGTTTATAAATGTTTGTGGCTGTTCTGATTTTAGCTTACAGTTAAAGTATAATTTACTATGATCCTACTGTTCATTTTTAGGTTCTTTTCTCAGAGCTTTTTGGCTCTTTTGAAAGAACTTGCATACATTATACTAATATATGATGCTATTCTAGTTTTAAGACTGGAAATAACAATGTTTTTAGTATTCCTTCACTTAAAGAAGCATAAAATTGAGCAAATTATTTTGACTCCTCTGAGTCTTGTTGAATAGGAGGAACAATTGAGGTATACACATAGATATGTTTTTTTTATTGCTTTGCTTAAAATCCTATCCTGGTATAAATTCTAACCTGTATACCAGTTTGCTAATGTATTGTACGTACTCAACACCACTGGTTTGCACATTTGCAGTCTAGATTGCTCCTGCTTGAAACAAAGGCACTATGAGTACCAGCGCCGCTTATTTGCAGCATCTGATGTTGTCTACACAAGTGTCATATACTGTATAGTGTTGTTCAGATGCACTGGTTGAGACAGAAATAAATCTCTAGTATAGGCACAACTTTGAGGCAGAGAGACTGTAAAAATACAGGGGAATGGAAATGAAATTACAGAAATTGTTAAAGAGACCATGACCACACCAAAAAAAGGATAAAATTTACAGTACTGTGAAATTAAATTTCAGCAGCCAAATACAAGTTGAAAGCAAAATCATTGTCTCATGTGAAACTTACAGCACAGTATTAGACTTTTCATTTCATACCTTTTGCTGCTGTTCTGTCTAATGAGATGGTCTGACATATTGAACACCAGATAAACAATTGTAACAATGACTGCTACTTGGTATTTTGATACCTATTCTTTCTATGACTTTGTGGTAAATTTGCTGTGCATGTATTAAAAAACTGTCTAGCTAGAGGAAAATAAGATTTGAAATATTTATCTTTTTTTTTTTTTTTTTTTTCTCCTTATGGAGGAAGGTGACACTAATAATGGTGGGTCTTGATAATGCTGGTAAAACTGCTACAGTCCGAGGAATTCAAGGAGGTAAGCAATTAATTTGTTTATCATCTAAATGGAGCATTGAAAGAGAGAGTATAATTATTAATTTTCCATCATTTTAATCTAAAGATATTGCTACATCCCTTAAGGTTTATCTGTCCCTCCCTTATTATTGAAAGAAAATTTTTGTGCTTGTACCACCAAAAGTGGTACAAGTGTGGTTGCCAAAGTGAGCATGTCACAGGCCCCGTGCTGTGAAGACCTGTAGATGAGAGGAAAATTAAGGGGTCTTACCTTTGAAACATAAAGATCCTGATTTTTGATATCTGGCAAGTCATGCTAGGCTGACTTAAAAAGTAGGTGCTCCCAGTCACATGCTTTATGCTCAGGAGAAGTAGAGAGAAAGCTCTGTGTTTGCTCATCGGCCACTGCACTTAACATCATGTTGAGCTAACGTGGACCAAATCAGTGGTAGTTCCAACAAAGTTGCTACCATACTGCTACATATTTTTCAAAGGTAATAGTATGGTGTAGAGGCAAGGTAGATAGTATGGAAAGGGCTGCCTCTTAAGACATTGCACCATGCAGCATTAGAACCCTTAGGCCACTGAGACAGAAAAAATTAGTCCGTGGGGGTGTTTAATTATCTTGGAAACACTAAGACCTAATGTTCAGAGTAGCCTGAATGCTTATGTGCCTTGAGTTGACCACTGTATCATTAACTGTGCAAAATGCTAAATTGCAACAAAATCTGTTCTAGGTTCATGTTTAAATTTCATGAGCATCATAGCTCATTTTGGGACTAGAGGAAGGTTTTTTTCAGCAGTTCAATAAATAGCTGAAGGAACATTGTAACTACAAGCAAGCCGACTCCATAAGTTGCTTTAAGTGAAAGAAAGTGTAGGACAAAAACTCTGAAGGCTGTAGACCGCATTCTAATTAATAATTACTTTGCATTGAGGCAATGATACAAAATATTCTGGTTAATGATGTGTTTCGCATCTTAGTATACATTAGCAAAATCAATGGACCTGACTTTTTTTTTTTTTTTTAATCTTGTGTGCACCTGCTGAAGATGCTTTCAGGTGACCATCCAGTAATGCGCATACATCAGTAAACTTTCTATAAAAATCAGTGTTGTAAGTATGTATAATGAGGAAAAGGTTCAAAAGAAGGAAATTGCATGTGTATGTATATAACATAAAGGATGGTTCTGGTGATACATATTTTATATCATTATTTATCACCAGAAAAGCGCTAGCAATTTTCTAGGCACTTACTTCAGTAAGAGACCACTTGATTTTGGAGGGTACTTTGCACCATCCAATGACATAGGCAAGCAGGATATAATTTGAGATAAAACTTGTGCTTATGAAAACAAAAATTCTCTATTTTTTTTCCCTTTGTGGGATTGTTTTTCTAAATAACTTTCATCTTGTGTAATAACAAGAGAGTACTTAGTAGTGTTTTGGCAGACTTTGGAGGCTCCACCTCGACTTTCTGTTTATGCGTGTTATGCAAGGTCATGGACTTAGTAAAATGTGAATAAAGTTATGAATATTCTCTCATTTATACTCCTGAATCTTTGCCCTGAAAACATGAGTGCTTTGTTATTTAGCCTTTCATTCTGTTTCAAAATCAACTTTAATGCCTTTATCAGGTAAATGTGACAGTTATTTCTAGAAGTCCTTTTTTTCTGGGAAAAAATGGGATAAAGATGGGTATTTCTAAAGGGAAACTCCAGGAAAAGATAGTTCTGACTTCCATGACTGTTTTCCAGGGCTTGAATAGTGCTTGCCTTAGAAAGCAATTGTTTTTTTTTTTCCTTAACAGAGCTTGCAGAGATTAGAACCTTCATTTAGTCTTTAGGGTTGATAAAACCAGTACTTCTGGCTGTGCACCAGTCATACAGCCTGTAGGAGGTGACTGCAGTTACAATTGCTGGGTTTTAGCAGAAACCAAATACATTTCAGTTCTTAGGACTCTTAAACCTAGGCAAATCAGCACGGTCACCAAAGTCATATTTGCCAAAATGGATCTGCAGCTATGTGGCAGACCCTGTTTTTACATTGAAGACTCTTTATTATTGGAGACCTCACTGTACAATAGGAGCAGATGTTTCAGCAATATCCCCTTAGACTCAGCACCATCAATAACTTTCACCCTTAACTAACACTCATGTTCACATTGTTCTCTCTTGTAAGAGCACATACTTACGGCTCACAGTGCAAAACGTTCTTCAAAATAAAGCCTGTTGAGTTTTGAAGCTGTAGTTTTTCACAAATGGGGGTCCCAAACCCTTCTCTTGCTGGCGTCTTGGCTCACCCTGTTCCAGCCAAGGGGTCTGTTCTGAATCCCCATCTCGGCTGTGTGTGAAGGATTTGCTCAAAAAAGGAATGCGGTAGCAGAAGGCTGGTGGTGATTTAGCTTCTGCACTGCTCTTCAGAGCTCAGTGCTTTTGACCATGCCTTCATTTTTTCCTCTCAACAAGATGAATTTTACATCTGTTTCTCCTGCCTTGTGCTACCAAGCTACATAAAACAGTTGCAGAGATCCAATTAACTCACCCCTGCAGAGACAGCTTCGTGGTGTGAGGCAAGTACAGGCTTTCCTTGCCCTTCAGAAAGGGAGACAGCAAGCAAAAGTATTAAATTAAATTAAAGCTATAGTTTTTTAGCATATTGCATGGCAAACTAAAAAACAGAAAATAAAAATAAACAAAGGCCAAAACCTGATCTTGAATAAAGGGAATCAAGTAGTTTACATGTCAGAAGAACATGGTTTCAGTCACTTCATCTCAGCCCTGGTTTGAACTTTTGAAGCTGTTTTGGCAACCTTGAGGGATAAAAAATAAATTTGGCAGGGCACAAGGCTTCCCAGGTCATAATGCATTAACTATTTTGTTTGTTTTCCTTCTCAAACTTGGATTAATACCATGCAAATGCTGTATAACTGTTCAGATGGGAGTGTTGGTGGTGAGGGGAAAAGTAAAAACTGCAGTACACTGAATACCACTGCAGTTTAACGATGGTGTTAAATATTAAAAATTGCATTTTTGGCCCTTCCCCCCTCCCCAGTGCTCCTATCTAAATTAATGTCAAGTAACTGGTAGAGAGAGTAGTTTGTTAATTTGAAATTACCTGAGGAGAAGGAAAATCTTAATGTAAAAAAAATGCATGGTTAGCAATATGGTGTCACTTAACAGGGAGGGTTTGCTCCATGTTTTTAAAATATGAATTTTGCTACACAAATCACAATGTAAAATCCTCTTTACATAACTAAGGACACTTTTTACTGAAGGCTTTCTTCTTTGAACTCTGACAGAATCTCCTGAAGATGTGGCTCCAACAGTTGGGTTTTCCAAGATTGACCTTAAACAAGGACGTTTTGAAGTCACCATCTTTGATTTAGGAGGTGGAAAACGAATTCGAAATATCTGGAGAAATTACTATGCTGAGTCCTATGGTGTAATATTTGTTGTGGATTCCAGTGACATTGCAAGAATGGAAGAAACAAAGCAAGCCATGACAGAAGTTTTAAACAGCCCTAAGATATCGGGAAAACCCGTGTTAGTGTAAGTAGTGTTAATAAATGTTCTCCTAATAATGTGAAATTTTGTAAATTTTGACCTTCAATACACCTTCTAAAGAAGTATTTATGTATAGTATAAACATAAATATAAAGTACACCAATACTACTGTAACTTCAGTACTAAGCAATCTTACAGTTTTACAGTATTCCTGTAGTATTTATTTATGCCAGTCTTAGTATCATACTAGTGAACAAAGCCTTTGCTTGCTTGCTTGCTTGCTTTCTTCCCTCCTTCTTTCCCTCTTGAGTTGTACATGGTGATATACTGAATCCATTCATTGCATCTGACATTAGATCTTATTTAGTCCTTCTCAGGGATATTTATTTGTCTTCTCTTTCATTAGCAGTGGAAAAATAAGGTTTGGGTTTTTTTTTTTTTTAAACCCTAATATTACACAAAATGGTATGATAGATTAAAGGCTTTGCAATTTTGCCATGGCAACATAGTGTACAAATATTGTTACTATTTAGGCCTACATCAATTACTTAAATTGTAAATGGTTGATTATATTCTGCAATACCAGTAATCTCTCAGCAATAAATGACTTGTTCACTTAACACATGGTGGTGCTGCTGATACATGGTCAGCAGAATCTCATTAAAGAAGGCTTACTTTAATAGTATTTGGCGTGTGCTTTTGTTTCAGTGCATGTGTTTTAATTAAAAAAAAAAAGTTGAAGTTTCAAAAGGTCTAGAGACATTCTTTCACAGAACAGATAGATTCATGAACTTCTCTGCTTTAAAAACTAGGTTTTGTAAAATATTTGGAAAGAACATATTTTATTAAATTCAGCCACATAAAAGGCCTTTGAGAACAAATACCCTTTTGAAGTTACAAAATAAACCATGAAAGTTTGAAATGGTTTATCAGGACAATATCTTTATGTCTGGTGAGCGTAAGACCTTGATAATGCAGTAATTACACAACATTTCTGTGATATCATAAAGAGTCTGTAAAGCTTAAGAGGAGAGGCCTCTTACTGTTAAGAAGTAATGATGCTCTGGTGGTTTGAGGGTGAAACTGGCTAATCTGTTTTGATCAAGTGGAGTGCAGCTCAGCAAGCTAATAGTATATATATTGAAAAATAGATTACATTTTAACTTCCATTGCTATCTGAATGTTATTAGTACAGGGAAGACAATAAAACCAACTTAATGCAGCTAGTTTAACTCAAATCTGTTCGGAAAATGCAACCGTGACAGTTGACAACTGTGTAGTGTTTCTAAATAAATACAACTGTAGGGTTTTTTTAATAGAAATCTCTATGCCCTAATCCTATAATAGAGTTTATTTGGGTGGCTGGCTGTACCTGCAAAGAGCCCACTTGCTTCCCGGGGACTTGATCCTGCTTTTTGGCCCGTGTCAGTAGCTAATCAGAAGGCAGAGTGTATTAACTGAGTCTAATGGTGACTAAACTGAGTTTATTGATGTTATTGCCTTCTAATTGATTGAGCCTTAAGCCTGTGCACAGAATTTGCTCTTGCAGTGTCCCAGTTCTGTGGAGGGATCCAGTAGTTTTTTGTTTTATGCTCCCTATATGAGCCTGCGTCTCAAGTTATGAATTCTTTCCTGTATTGTCTTTGTTTTCTCTTTGGTGTCTGTGTTCATGGCATAGCTATGCTACTCTTGGCATGTTCAAATCACATAAACCCTAGAATTTGCTCCAGTATTTGAAGCACTTCTTATATTGTGAAGCCTACAAGCTGTGAAGTGGGAAGGCTTGGTCAGTAAGCACTGGTGTTTGTGATATGGAAGCTGAGTGCTTAGCAAATGAGATTCAACTGGTCCCATGCACCTTCCCTTCCCTGAAGATGCCTTTGGTTGGAGATGCAAATCCCTGTCACTGGTACTTGCCAAATAAGAGTTCTGTGGCATAAACTTTTTTCTCTTAAGTCCCTAAAACTGAAAAATGAAAATGTATCAAGAGCAGAATAAAGGAAAGAGTAGATTTCCAAATTTATGGTGAAAGTTAGCCTTTTTTAATGTTTTCCTCTTCTAAGGATGTTCAGCTTTTGTTTTATTTTTTTCATTTGTTGTTTTTGGTGTGGTTTTTTTTTAATAATGAGATACTTGGTATCCGTATAGCAATAAGTTCCCTAATATCTTGCTAAGTTTCTAATTAGTGCGTTTTAGTCTATGCATGTATGTGTGAAGGCCAGTATTTACTGAAAGCAATAGGGACCTCTGTGTATGAAAGCCAGGGAAGTTGAAGTTTACTCTATGTAATTCCCTTCTCTCCCGTGCTCTTGCAGTGCAGAGCACAATCTATTTCTCTTTTCATAGAATACTGTTATAATTTCATGCCAGAGGAGAGAGATTCCTTCTCTGTGGTTTGCACACTCCACAAGTGTGTCTCTGGTCTGGACAAACCTGGCTTTGCTCTTCCAGCACTTGAAATAATCAAGGAGAAGCAGAAATACAGGTGTAATTTGTTTACTCTCTGCTGTCTGTAGGTGCACAGATTTCTCTACTATGTTATTTGTATGCTTAAATACAAAGTGCTTATTCATTAATGTTTTATTAATTACCACTTACCATCTTCAAAACTAATAAAAGAAACAAAACTAAAGGAATGAAAAGGAGTGAGCTATAACTTCAAAATGTGTGTGTGTGCTGAAGAATGATGAAAGATGTATTGGTGACTTGATCAGAATGAAACAATTAAAATGTTTATACTGGATATTCATGTTTCTTTTTAAGCATAGATTGAACCAATGTACCAAAATTTCAACAGTCAGCACTGACTTTTAGTCTAATGTTATTTACCCTAACTTGTGCTATATGCAGTATCTTGTACAATGAAGTATATATAAGTATGCTGTAAGACTGGGCGCAAGTCCATTCTGGATTTTGAAGGCAGCAGCAGAAGTTGCTCGATATACAGTATCAGGTGTATCATTATGCATACCTAGCATCTGCTTGTCTTAGAAATAACCTGCTGGTTATGCCTTTTTTTTTTCCTTTTTCCTTTTTCCTTTTTCCTTTTTCCTTTTTCCACTTCTGGTAGATAATAATAAAAAAGACAGAATTGCCTTTTTCCTTTGCATTTATTTATGGGCTTTCATCTGTCTGGAGAAAGCTAATTTTGCCAGTTGGATCAGGGAAAAATAAAATCTTCATGACTGGTCGCTAAGATGGACCTTTAAATAAACCATTGCTCATCAGACAATTAAATTCATGTATTTGTAAAGGAACATTCCAGTTATCAGTTTATCAATATCATATTTGTGGCTATGCTCTGTAATATTTTCCTTATTAGTTAATAAAACTTGGAAAGGAGCGATACTGGAGTGGTAGCAATGGTAAGGAGGCAGGAATTTGCCTCTGGACAAGAATTCTGATCTGTCAGAGCTCTCTTCCTAATCTGCCTTCATACCATGGTCTGCCTCAGCATATATAAAAGAAAAACTTGAAACAGAAATTGCATTCCCTGTTAGGTAAATTAAGGCTTACTAGAGCTTTCATCCTGTTTTACTTGTAGAGTTCCTGGTGTTCAGAACATTAGGATCGGATTAAGAAGAGTACTGTTATTGCATGCTTTTTGGAAAATTGGTTGTTCAATAATAATTCCAAGGGGAAATAAAATACAATTTGTAGAACGCTGTACTAATGAATATACACATTCCCTAATATACTCACATTTCTTACGTACTCTGACCTCTCTCCCTAGTTCCTGGAGCCTTATCCTCTTTCTCCTTCTCTCCCCTTCCTCCATTCAGCGTTTCCTCCCTGGCTGGTTAAGCACATGCTGTGTTTGGTTATGGTGCAACAAGCGAAGCACTCGGCTGTCTGCTGCCTTTGAGAATAGGTGAAGTGAATGAATCAAAACTAGTTTTGGTCTCTCTCTTCTACCCGTATGAATTTGATATAGGTCAGTGGTACGGTTATTGTAGGGGCTAACTGTCCGTGCAAAAATGGTCTAAAAAAGTAGTGGGGAAAAAAACTTTTTCTACTCAGGTAAGCAAATTTTGATGTTTGTAATGGGTAAAATATATGCTGAATCATGAAGTTCCTTTATCTAAATATATCTCCTTTTTATCTTTAAAGATTTAAAAAAAGAAAATTACATCCTAATTTAGATAACTGTTATGTTTTTTCCTCTAAAAAGATAATGTTGTTTATAACTGTGGGGTCTGGTTCAGTACAGCAAAAACATCTCTGATAGTAATATTTAAATAAAAGTATTCTCCAGTTGTTTGCTGTTATGTGATGGCAGATTTGTCCTCTGCTCTATATATTCGTTCAATGCTCTGTAGATTCGTTCAGTTTCAAGATTTTCTCACTTGCTGATGTGGAGTTGGAGTTGTTAAAACAAACAAACAAACAAAAAAAACCCCAAACCACTCACAAACAAAAAACCCACAAAACAAAAAAGAACCCACATAAAAAACCCCCAAGAATAGGAACAAACTTCAACAGCGATACACTTAATAGCCACCAGGAAAGGCTTGGGAGTCTTTGACACACAGTTCTTAATGAAAGTAGACAAATTAAACTCCTCCCCCCCCCCCCCCCCATTTTGAACAGCAGGGTAATTATGTGGTTTGTCTACGCTGAGAGATTACACTGAGTGGAGAGCCATTCCCTCCCTCCCCTCTCCCCTCTTTTTTTTGTTGTTCTTTGGGTGCTCTGACCACAATGAGCCATACTGTGTGTGTGGCAGCTGATGGACTTATTCCTTCTTGGAGAGAAACAGTTGCGTGTCCTCCCTCTTCCTGAGAGGACGTGTCTGTATAACGCTGTAGTTTGGTCAGATAGTAAGGGTGTAGACCATACCAACTTCAGCTCCTACTAATCAGGACAGCTGTCCAACATGGCAACAGCAGGGCTTTCACTCTACGTGCCCTCATGCTATGTCCCAAAACTTTAAACATATGATATCAGCATGAACAATTCTTTCATTAGATGCATTGCACTGATTGTTATTTTGGACGTGTTGAATTAAAAATAAAATAATTTTATATATGTAAGTCTTAAGGCCA